GTACATATAAAAATACAAGCAGCATAATTATAAAGCTAAAACAAATGCATTCAAAGTGATTTCATACAAGGCTGTTTAGGCAGTAGGACACTAACAGCTTGGGGGGAGTGGCTGAATCAGGAAAAGTTTCATGCAGAAGATGGTGGATGTTGTGTACCTTAAATGAAAAGAGGATGCTATTAAGTAAAGGAGAGAGGGCAACTAGGTGGCACATTGGACAGAATGCCAGGGCTAGAGGCAAGAAGACATGAGCTCAAATACAGCCTCTGACACTTACTAGCTTTGTGACCCTGGGCAAGTCACTGAACCCTGTTTGCCTCAGTTTTCTCATCTGTAAAATGAGCTGCAGTAGAAAATGACAAAACCACTCCAGTATCTTTGCCAAGAAAACCCCAAATAGGGTCACAGAGTTGGACAAAACTGAAAAATAACCACACAATAAAAGAGAGAGACCATTCCAAGTATGGGGAGCAGCCAGTACCAAGGCAAAGAGATGGTATGGGAAGAAAAAAGAGAAAGTCCATTTGGCTGGGTTGCAGAATGTGGAAAGGGGAAGGCTGAAAAAAATAGGCTGGGGCCAGAGTGGACAGGGTTTTAGAACACAAGCAGAAGTTTATAAACTAAATGAAGGAGTTTCTATTTTATCCTTGAGGTGACAGGAAGTTGATTAAGAAGGGGAATCACAAAGATACGGCTACACTTAAGGAAGATCGCTCAGCGGCTGCCAAGTGTGGAGGATGAACTAGACTGGCGAGAGCCTGGAGGCCAGGAGGCCAATGAAGAAGCTGCCACAAGAAACTGGTGAGTGGTGACGGAAGCCTGAACTAATGTGACAGCTCTCCGAGTGGGAGAGGGAGGTCAGATATGAAAGATACTGCAAACGATGAAATGGCAAGATGTGGCAACGGATTAGACACGGGGGACGTGGAAGGAAGTTCAAGACAATGCAATGATTCCAACCTGGGACACTGAAAAGAAGTGGTTTCTCTGACAGAAAAAGGCATGTTTGGCAAAGGGGAGGATTTAGAGGGAAAGACAGAGGTCAGCTCTAGATCTGGCGCGTTTAAAATTTCTCTCAGACAGGGGCAGCTTGGTGACACGGTGATACCAGCCCTGGAGTCAGGAGGACCTGAGTTCAAATCTGGCCTCAGACACTGAACTGTGTGTGGCTCTGGGAAGGGAGGAAGGAAAGAGGGAGGGAAGAAAAGGAGGTAGGGAGGGACAGAGTGAAGGAAGAAGGGAGGGAGGGAAGAAAGGAAGGAAAAAAGGAAGATTTCTCTCAGACATTCAGTTTGAAAGCTGAGAAAGAACGGCACCTAAAACCTAATACTTACTGAGAAATAAATTTTAGTATTAGCTACAAAAAAGATCTTTTCTACATGGGCTAAGAGTCTCCACAAGTATGAATACAAACTAACAACTGATGAAATCTGAACTGTGCTCATTGTTTTAAGGTATCCTACCTAGCCTGCCACCTAAACTGAACTAGATTACAATATTCTATACTTGGTCACATTTTAATCAATCTCAACAGTTAATAAAACCACCAATTCCACCTGGCTGGCACCATAGCTTCTCTGACCAAGTTTGTATTTTTCTTATCATTTATTCTTCACCTAGCTTTCTCAATACTCCATCTACTGCTACAATGTTAGAAAAAATTAGGAAATACATAAATCCAAAATTGATTAAAACCTTAAAGAAAGCTTGTATTTCTCTCTAAAAATCTCTCAATATCCACTTAAGTGACATTTATGTCATTTTACACTTTTTCAAAGTGCCATCACAATCTTATTTGATACTCACAACATCCCTGTGAAGAGAAGAATTACTATCCCTGTTTTACACATGAGGACACTCAGAACTGAAGAGGCTGTTGACTACTGACTATGATAGAAGGAACAGGGAAGAAAAATGAATGAGGTTATAAGCAACTTTCCCAAGAGCCTCCTGCCAGTAAGAAAAATGAGTACCAATAAAACTCAAATATGCACAAGATTCCTGGTCTAGTGCCACACTGGTTACCTAAATATTTTAATCAGATAAAATTCAACTCCAAGGGACAGAAACAATATTTTCTCCATAAAGACTTCTACAGAATAAAAGTATTTTATAAATTTACTCTTTTACATAATATTCATGTTAACCACAAAGATCAGGCAGAAGAGAAAAAGTAGGGGAAAAGGCAAGGCCACATTTTCATGGGACAAAAGCAGAGGCTATACACAACTAACAAGAGTTACAGAAATATTATGAAACTGTCAGACGCTGAAATGTTTCTGGCTAGAAAATACCTGGGAACTACTGCACCAGACCTGCCTCTCAGCTACATGAATTCTGTTAAGATTTAAATACCATATGTTTTAATATCCAGGTTATTATTTTATGTTTATATACGATCTTTACTCCAAGTAAGTATCAAATTGTGCAAGCATCCTTTTTTCAGGCTATCTCCTGGGTGGGGGGGAATCTCTTAGAATGTATTACTCAGAATGTTAACACTACAGAAGAGTGCGTTAATTTGCAACTCCCCATGTCATCTGATTCTTACTCACAGTTTGGTCACTTACTGAATTGTGTAATGTCCTTTGCTACTGTTGATTTAAAATGCTGAGGGGAGTAAGACTGCCTTCTTGTTCTAAAAAAAATGTTTTTAATGGAAGTCAGGATACAAAAAGCAGGAATCAAAGCATCATAGACTAGCAGCAGGAGGGGGCTCAGAGGCCATCGAGACCATCCCCCTTATTTTACTGAAAAGGAAAAGGATGCCCAAGGTCACATAAGTAAATGAGAGATGGAGAGTCCGACCCCTGGTCCTGCCTCCCAAGCCAGGGCCTTTCCCACTGCACCCCGATGCCTCTCCTTTACTCCCAACCTGGGGGACAGAGTCACTGAGTTAGTCCAGAAAGTTTTCATATTCACCAAAGTAGATAATACAACTATGTGCTAGATGTAAGTTAATGACAACACAGTTTGCCTATTAAAATAACACTGTTCTTTATTTCACGTCTATCTACCTTGTTTCAAAGAGTAAGCCTTCTAAGAACTGTAACCGTGACCTGTGTTTTTTCTTGTTTGTTTTTTAAATGTGCTTCTCAGCCCTGGGTTACTTGGTGGCTTGACCTCTACACAGCCTTTGACACTGCTGCTCATTCACTCTCTCTTATTTGATACTCTCTTTTCTTTGGATTTTTGGGACACCACTTTCTCCTACTTATCTGACCACAACATCTTAAGTCTCCTTTGCTAGATGCTCATCCAAGTCATACCCACTAACTGTACGTATCCTCAGGCCTCTATCCTGGGCCCTCCTCAATTCTCCCTCTATCCTATTTCACTTGGTGATTTTGTCAATTCCCATGTGTTTATTGATTATTTCTATGTTAATGATATTTAAATGTACCTATCCTGCCCTAAACTCTCTGCTGACCTCCCATCTCATATCAGCAAAGGCCTTCTAGAAATCTCAAACTGGATGTCCAATAGACACCTTAAACACATCCAAAATGGAACTTACTATCTTTCTCCCTACCCCCTCCCCCTCTTCTCTATCATTCTACAGGGTGACATCATCCTCCTAGGCCTCAGGTTCACAACCTAGGAATTCTCACTCTCTCACCCTTCCATATCCAAGCCATTGCCAAGGCCTGTCGATTTCATCTCCACATATTACATGTCAACATCTCATACGCCCTTTCATCACTTTATACGACTATTGCAATGGCCTGCTGATGAGTCTCACTGTCAAGTCTTTCCTCACTCCAATCCATCCTCCATTCAGCCACTTAAGTGATCATCCTAAAGTACAGGTCTAATCATGTCACCCTCCTACTCAAACTCCAATGGCTCCCTATTGCCTCCAGGATCAAATACAAAATCCTGTATTTGGGGTTCAAAGCCTTTCCTAACTTTCCAGTCTTCTCACTTTCTTCACCACTAAGTATTCTTCAATCCAGTGACACTGGCTTCTCCTGGCTAGTCCACCAGTAAGATACTCCATCTCTCAGCTCCAGGTTGGAATGATCTTTTGCCTCATTTCTGTCTACTGGCCTCCCAGATTCCTTTCAGGTCCCAACTAAAATCCTTTATTTTACAGGAAACCTTTCCCAACCTTCTTAATTCTAGTGCCCTCCTTCTGTTAATTATTTCCTATTTATCCTGTATATAGGATATTTGTTTGCATGTTGTCTCTCCTTCTGAATATGTCTACAAGTCTGTTTCTGGTCAAGTACTTGGGTCTGGGAGGGTGGTGGTGGGGCCACTATTTTTCTAAATGCTCCACAGCTTTTTCTGCTCATTTTTCTGTTCATGGCTGATATGAATACGGCTGAAGTTGACAGAGTTAGACTGTAGATAAGGTTTGGTTTTTTTTTTTTAATTCAAATCCAGGTTTGAAGTCTCCTTTTCTATAAGGGACAGAAATTTTAACAGAAAAAGGAAAATCAAAGTTTTTTGAAAAAAAGAAGAGTGACATGGGGGACAGAACACAGGATTGAGCCTGAATGATCTGGTTTCAAATCCCATTTCAATATCAGCTATCTATGTGGTCTCAGAAAAGTCACTTTCTATACCTCAGTTCCTTCACCTACAAGATGAGGGTATTGGACTCCATGGTCTCTAAGTTCCTTCTAGCTCTAAATCCACGATATTATCAAAAAATCTTCCAAACAGCACAAAGACTAAAATAAAAAGGCTAAAAAACTGTGAACATCCAATTACATTTTACTAACCATCACCAGAAACTGTAAGGGGGTGATTAGGATAGGAAGGAGATAAAAGGAATTTTCTTCTTATGGAAGGGTTAAGTCTTGGTTTTGTCCATTGTAGGAGGCAAAATGACATCAGAAAAATATTTTACCAATTCCCTTTAGGCATAATCCATTTAGCAATTTCTAACCCAACTACACACTTTGACCCTCAAGTCCTGTGACTTTTTTGCATGAATCATTTTTGTACACAGTTGTTACACTTTGGTTCTGGGAAAAGCCAGGGTTACTTACCTCTGCCTCTGCTGTTAATAGTATCTTACGTGTCAGATGCTGTTCAGGGTCAAATTGACCTAAAGAGGAAAAATCCAAGACTTTATTTTTTTAAAAAATTTTTCATCTTTTATTTTTTCCCCCAATTACATGTAAAAATATATTTTAACATTCATTTTTTAAAATTTTGTGTTCCAAATTCTCTCCCTTCCTTCCCCCCGACTTGAGAAAGCAAGCAATTTAATACAGGTTACAAATGTACAGTTATGCAAAACATATTTCCATATTAGTCACATTGTGAAAGAAAACACAAACTCCCTCCAATAAAAACACCAAGAAAAATAAAGTTAAAAAAGTAAGCTTTGATCTACACTCAGACTCCATGGGTTTTAATTGTCTTAGACTACTGTATTGTTACAAGCTATGTCATTCACAGTTGATCATCCTTACAATATTGCTGTCACTACATACAATGTTCTCCTGGTTCTGCTCACTTCACTTTGTAGTTTTCCCAGGTTTTCTGAAACCATCCTGCTGGTTACTTCGTATAGCACAATAGTATTCTGTCACAATCACGTACCATAACTTGTTCAGCTATTTCCCAACTGATAGACATCCCCTCAATTTCCAATTCTTTACCACTACAGAAAGAGCTGTTATAAATATTTTTTTACATAGAGTCCCTTCCCCCTTTTTTGGATCTCTTTGGGATACAGACCACTGGTGGTATTGCTGCATCAAAGGGTATGCACAGTTTTATAGCCCTTTGGGCATAGTTCCAAATTGTTCTCCAGAATGGCTGGATCAGTTCACAACTCCACCAACAGTGCACTAGTGTCCCAATATTCTCACATCCCCTCCAATATTTGTCATTTTCCTTTTCTGTCATATTAGCCAATCTGATAGGTACGAGCTAGTATCTCAGAGTTGTTCTAAAATCCAAGACTTTAGAGTGATTTTTAATTACCAGATTTTTAATAGTTATCTGTCATATCTAGGAAAATAAAAATTATAAGTGTCACCCGTGAAAGTGCTTTGACAAAGGGGGCTACACAAAACAAGGCTATTATTGTTTTTATTTAAATCTTAAAGTAGACAATCATTAACAGCAGAATAAACATAACCGCATAAAACTCTCAATACCATCCACATACTTTTTTAAAACGTGAGGAAAGTTATTTTACAACAGGTAGTATGAACTGCAGATTATAGGCTAATGGAAATGGCCTTGGGACTTCAACAAGATCAACTGTTAAACTAATAAAACTTCCTGAAGCATTTCCTACCCTGCTCCTCCCCACCCCCCCAAAGAAAACATAGGACAAACCAAAAAACCTCTGTTCAATGACAACAGCAAAGTCCTATATAGCCTGTGAGGCTCCCTTCTCAGTATTTCAATCTAACTTTTTAGTTGAACATTGTGTTGCTTCTAATACTGACATATTATATTCCCTGTTTCCAAGGGATATGGAAATTGAAATTAAATTATTCAACAAATTGGGCTGGGTCTGGAAGGTGGGAAAGAGACAGAATGCTACATTCAGTAATCCTGACATTAAAAAAACCAAAACCTTTTCTATTTCCCTTTGCCCTTTCATCAGTACATTTACAAATTATTTATAAATGCACAGAAAGGCAGACAGAGGCTACTGCTTTTATAGAAAGATATCATTGATCAATTTTACAAAATGAAACTCAGTCAATGTCATCAAAATAGCTTGTCAAATTTCATAAAGGTAAGTAGTACATTTCCCCCATTCTTCTCCTGGCCCTGTTTTCTAATTCCTCTGGACTTCAAAAACATATCCCTAGGTAGCTTCATTCCCCCTAGGTCCCCATCTCCCCATTACTACCCTGTGTGTGGTCTGAACCATTTTTTTTCCCCTTGTATTTGTATCCCCAGCACTTAGCACAGTGCCTGCCCCATGGTATGTGTATAATAATGCTTGTTTCTTCCTTCCTCCAACTGGAAATAGGCCCCTAAATCCAATGTTTCATTCACTATGATCATGTCAGAGTGGATATTACACAAATGTAATTTTTTTTTTTTGCCTTTTTTTGGGTGAGGCAATTGGGGTTAAGTGACTTGCCCAGGGTCACACAGCTAGTAAGTGTCAAGTGTCTGAGGTCAAATTTGAACTCAGGTCCTCCTGACTCCAAGGCTGGAGCTCTATCCACTGTACCACCTAGATGCCCCACAAATGTAATTTAGATAAGGAAGTATGTTCCCCGAACTAATTCAGCTACTCAAGCCAAAGTGCTTTATTATTTTGCTTTAGATTTAAAAAAAAATCCCATCACTCTCAACTATAAGAGCTGTCAGGCAGTATGGGACTCCTGGTCACTCTCCATCTGGAAGCAAAAAGTTTTAGGAAGACAACAACGAAAGTTACACAACTATGCCCGAAGAGAATTTTAACCTAAAAATTAAAATGATCCGAGTTCTGGATGTTGATTAAAAATAAGACATTAAAGTCACAAGCGCAAAATAAAAAGTCAAACTCAATTTTTCACCTTGGAAAAAACTAATCTTACATGATTCAGGGGAAAAACATTTTCCTTTCTTGCTATCTGAATTTTTTGCAAGCCTATGAAGCTAAACATAAATGCCCGGAGATAACATCCAACACTTTAAAAGAGCTATGTGCACGCTTAACTCATAAGTCAACCCAAGGCTTCAAAACACAGTCCACCCTGAAACAGTGATAAGGCAGGTTCTGAAGGTTGTGCCATCTTTGGTCTAACTGCCTGGACCAGATATCACTGCCTGAGAACATTAGAATTTAGTTTGTTATTTTCTAACTAAAATACAGTGCTACCACAATAAATAATCTCTGAATAAGGATACTGAAGACTTTCAGTAAGCCTTTTCCTAGTAATCTAATTCCTAAGAGGTTTAGTTTTTAAGCCACCTGTGTCACCAGTATAATAGTTCTCTACACTAAGAAAAATGATCCATGACGTGTCAACTATCTGACACTGCTAGAAAATGTAGTGGTCAAAATGCATCAATTTTTTAGTTAATTGAAGCTTTCTTTTCTTTGAACTCTTTATTTTAAAATTTTCTAATGGAAATGTTTGCTGATATAATACACAAAATATATTTAATAGCATTTAAATTAACTTTAATTACATTATTATTAACTATTTGGCTAAACACACACACACATTCTCATATTCTCTCTTTCAGCAGAGAGCTATACTTTTCCAAATGGTCTTTCTTATTCTTCCTTTCTTGTCTGCTCTAAAAACATATATCATCTCTCTCCAACACTCCAAACCATCTATCACTCAGTGAGTCTGCTATAACCAAGGGAAGAACTGAAAGTTACCAAGAGAAAAACAAATAGTAAAGCTTGTTTAAATCATTAGACTTTAATTTCATAGAAAGTACTAAATCAACAGTCTAAGCCTGACTCCCTTCCTCCACCTCCAACCCTCCCAGTTAACAAGAATAAAATTCTGTGTTCCACATGGTCAAGGATGCCAGAAATCTTACCACTGGATAAATGGGTGCATTAGCATAATACAAAAGATTTTATAATTTAAAAGTATCTTATGAAATCACATGGCCTAGCCTCACTTCTTTCCTTCTGGTAAAGTATTACTATTTTCATTCTAACGATGAGAATTTTTAAAAATAAAATACTTATATACATGTGTTATATAATTTCACACTTAGATGGATACAGATATTTAAGGATTACATACTAGAAGCCACAGTTCTTTACTACCTGGATTTTGATACACCCCAGGCAAAACCAAGTTCCCCAAAATATAACCAAGTGTAAAAAAAAATATATATATACCCAACATTCTGCCCTCACAAACCCATGCTGTAACAAATTATCACTACAGCTTGACGAAATACAGTCACATAATTTTACAGTCAGAAAAGACTTTACCAATAATTTTACAGAGGAGTGACCAAGACCATAAAGTAAGTTAAGAGCCCATGGTTACATAGCCTATTAAGAAAGACAAGGTTAGAACCCATGTCTCCTGACTAATTGCAGTGCTCTGGATTAAAAAAAGGCAAGAAAAAAAGTTTTTTGCCCTTAGATACTTAAGTGAGTTCCTCTTTCAATAATAAGAAGAGTTAGCATTTATGTAGCACTTTAAGGTTTGTAAAGAGCTTTACAATTAGCTCATTTTATCACAATAACCCTGGGAGGCAGGTGCTATTATTAACTCCATTTTACCGATGAAGAAACTGAGGCAGGTGTGGCTAAGTGATTTGACCAGGATAACACAGCTAGTAACTGAGGCCAGATCTGTAATCAAGTCTTCTTGATTCTGGGTCCAATGTGTTATCCACTGTACCACTTAACTGAAAAAAATTATCTAAGTGAAATATAGAATAATGCATATTTTCAAGTCAAGACATTGTCATCACAAGATCTTTACCTTCCAACTCCTCTTCTACTTAACCTTATTTCTCTATTCCCACACACCAAAATAAAAACTGTCCTATTTTCTGTTTAGATTCTTGCATTTTAAGCCCTTGCTATTCCAATCTGATCTCATTTTCTACTACCCTATCTCTACCAATTGCCTTAATTTTATGTCCATGTAGAATACTAAGCTCCACCCCCTTCACTGAAATGCAAATCCCATAAATAAAGAATAAGCCTACTTTGATGTTTTGCCACTCCCAAAACATTTTTTTTCAAGTTTCTGTAAATAAGTTTGCCACGACATATTTAGGCTACCAGCTATTAAACCCCACTAAAGTCCAAAACACTTTTCTACTGATGCTCTTCATCTGTCTATCTTAATTGCATCAGAATCTTTCCAATTCTACTGTCATTGACACCCGTGTTATCCAGGTTTCTCATGGCAGGAAGGCCTCCTCTCCTAAGCAGATCTCTAATTTTGGCCAATGGGGTTCTCAACAATGATTATACTAGTCCTGTGCCTGTCATTAGGCAAGGTATTGCTGTCTGATCTACTGAACTCTTCCTTTTCACATTCACATTTTCTCCATAAAATTCAGAGAAACTACTCTCATTTTTTTACTTTTCTCTCTAAGGCACTGGTGATTTATTTCCCATTAAGCTAAAAGGATTGCATTTGTAAT